TCCCAAGTACGTCTCCCTCTCTCGGGCGAACATTTTTTTCCCCAGCCGTTGGGACTGTCGGATCAATTCTGGAGATCGTAATGCCCCCAGGGATGGGGAAAGAGTGCGGACGACATAAGGGAACGAAAAGAAAATGATGGAGGGGTCAAGAACCGAATACAGGCCACTAGGTTGCCGGTCAAATGTGCTACCACTAAACCACCGAACCCAAGACTTTCATGCGTTATCCTCCAAGCCCTCCCCAACATAACAACGGGGAGGAGAGGCATTCTACGCACACCTCCCGCTCTCTACCTTGAGGGGTCCCATATGGACTTTCCCGCAGGCACATGCAAAACGTCCCGCGTATTACACATAGTCTTTTTTCGTGTCTGGGGGAAGTATGACTTCCTTCCGGTATGAGATCACCGCTCATATATTTATCGGTATCCCGACCACTTTTATCGATCGAAACCTCATCCCCTTATTCCTCACAAGGAGAGTGACTCCCTAGGTTGAAAACGGCGAGATCTCACCTGTATGACACAGGAGCGCTTACTCCTGGATCGGAAAGACGACGTCGGCAGCGTCGTAACCATCCCGTTTCTCCATCTCCAATTACTCGAGTGAGCCTCAAGTTCCAGGCTTGCCTTTGCTGAGATTGCTTTGGCCTAAGAAGGTAATAACATTACGCCGCCCTTGAACCATCAGTGTGGACCTATTTTACACCCGGTCTGACGCATGAAGTCAAACGAACCTTAGTTCGATGGACGAAGTGAACGTTCAAAGGCAACCATGCTAAAGAAGACGAAGGGCGACCACGAGGTGCATGGTGAGAAGTACTGGCGGGTCTTGGCAGGGCATGCTTCCCTATTCAGTAGGGCTTCTCCAATGATGCCTTGGTACCTACTCCTTCACTCCGTCAATGCGTACCGCAGGTCTGCTTTAAACTCTATCAATCACTTCGCACGTGAATCACGGCATCTTGCTGACTTATTCTCGATCGCTCTTTTCTGCCATAAGCCTAAACTGAAGTATTAGACCCATGTTGATGACAAAAATGAGTTTCGTAACGACTTGATTGGGCTCCCTCTGAGAACCTATTGTGCCTGTTGTGTCGAGGCTGTTTTCCAAGGAGTTAGGTCCGAATGCACAAACCTCATTTAGGGGAGATGAAGGGACCTTTAAGCTAAAGAGCCTTTTTTCGAATCTCCAGTTACGTGCATGAGACAACAGCAATGAGACCTGATTTTCGCTCCCAGCGCTCATGGACCGGAATTGTGAAACTGTTTCTGCACAAACTTCTTAGTTAAGATGAAAGCTTCATTCTGGTGTCATTTTAATTGTACGATGGTCGTTTTAAAACTGGTTCCAGGCATTCTTCTTCTGAGCTGAAAGAAGAACTTCACTTGATGAACTTCTGTGGGGAATATTGAAATTTGCCACCTCAGGAATTCGTCGTTTCAATATTTCAATAAAAACGACAGGGTGTACCATTTCTAACGATACGAAATCGAGATTGGCACTCAATGGCTTCACGAGACGTGAAAATTTTTGTGCGTCAGTTGTGCCAAAATTTCCAGTCGTTCCTACACTTTGACCGACTTAATGATCGACACATGGACTTTCCACCCCATGAATCCCGATTTATAATACATCATTGGAATGTATCTGCTACGCCCTTTCTAACGATGCCATGTCCAAGGTTGTCACTCAATAGGTTCAAGAGATAATACAATTTGTCCATTAATCCAAAAATTCAACTCGATCAAACAACCAGTCCAATTTCGGCGACGACATTTGCATCATGTCTCCATGACTTTGAAGTTATAGTAGACATTAAAAATTGCAATTAATGCCGGTGCTAACGCTACAAAACTCAAGATTGGCATTTAATGACTTAATTAGATATGACTATTTCTCGCGGCAGTACCAAAATTCTAATTGATCGAATAGCCGGACCGATTTCAGGGACTAAAATCGGTACTAGACCATTCATCAATCCAGAGTTATAAAATTCCTATTTCAAAAGTGCACGTTATGTTCTTTCAAAAGACATCAAACTTCATATTGGCTCTCAATCTCTTCATGAGACATGACCATTTAACGAGAACAGGACTTCTCGAGTACTCCCCAAGGGAAATCATGGAAATGTAGCTTTGTGGTAAGCCATCCAATCGGTAAATTTATTGCCGATTTTTATTTATTTTATGCACTTTTATCGTGTTCCTATGCTGCAAAATCGCAAAATATTGCACATATTTTATAAAAGCATTTCCATTCTATTATTATTATGTAATTAACTATTTAACTATTTAGTTAAAACCAATTAATATTTGCTAATTGTTTTGTGACTGTTCGCAAATTAATATTTTAAAATGTTGTATGCTAGGAAAGTAATAAAATACACAAAATTAAAATCCAGCAAAAATTTCACGCACAGAACTACATAACATTGGGCAACGTTCCCATGATTAATAAGGGCAACCATAAATGCATTGTCGATGCCGTCAAACGGTGAAATCCCATGAACCCATTGAGTGCCAACCGTGAATGTGGTATCGCCGGGAAGGGCGCAGCCGCACTTTTTCATGATGCAGTATAACTCGGGATTCATGGAGTGGAAAATGCAGGTGTCGGTCACTGAAGTCGGTCTAAGTGTTGGAACAAATGGAGATTTGGCACTACTGACGCACAAAAATATTCATATATCGTGAAGCCATTGAGTGTCAATATCGAACATTGCATACTCAGAAATGGCATACCATGCCCTTTTTAATGAAATATTGAAACGACGAATTTCCTGGGTGGCAAGTTTCGATATTCGCCATTGGACTTGATCAAGTGAAGCTTCTTGTTTCAGCTAAGGATAATAGTGTCTGGAATTAACTTAAAAACGGCCACCTCACAATTAAAATGATACCAGAATGAAGCTTATTTCATAACTAGAGAGGAACTTTTTGTAGAAACATTTTAGCAAATCCTGTCCGTATGTGCGCTGGTAGCAAAAATTATGTCCCATTAAAATGCATGCATCTGGAGATCTGTGGGAAAGATAAAAACTTGGTTGCATATTATCCCTTTAAATCGATTCCTGTACGTGTATGCCGATTTTCGTCAAAATCCGAGATGGTCGATTTGGCTTGGATTATACCCCGATGCGTCTACGAGCGAAGCTCCATAACGAGTCGCCATGCCCAGTGACGCACACTACAGTAGACGTTAGCTCAAGGAGTTAGCTTGGACTCTTCAAGCTGAACTTTTCTGTCTTTTGTGTCTCGTTGTGTCACATGTCACAGTATAGACGAACACAAGAGGTTTTTTTCATGTTGAAAAACATGTTCAATCTGTTCACCATTCCTTTGGATAATCGTTTCACAACGTACAACAGCGTTTTCAATAACATCGTCCAGAGTCTTGGGTGTTCCGTCTCTGCGCGTTGTAACCGCAGAACATTTGAATATATGGATGGTGCGTTTTTTTCACCTTTTTTATCCCGAAACAAGTAGATTCGAGAACTTTTTGCCACGTCGATTGGCCGTCTGGCCACATGCACGCATTTTTCACGAGTTCTGCACAGCTGGCTCTCCGTGAACTGCTGGCAGCAATTAATTGCCCCTCGATCCAGGGCAACGCACGGAATCACTTTCCTCATCGCCCAGCATCTGGCGATCGCTCGAGATCGTTTCCGACGCCTGGCTTCGGGTCCCTACCCCTCTGCAGTTCGGGTCGCCCGTACCCATTCGGTCCCCTGGGCCGATCTATAAATCCAGCGGCCAGCTTCATCCGATTTCACAGTCGGGATATGGAGCTCTCAGCCGCCGTGGTTCTTCTTCTTCTCTCGGCTTGCGCCCAGGTTCCTCTTCGAGTTCTTACTTACATATATGCCTTTCCTCTATTGCATCGGTCATTTTATCATATCAGTTTTAATTATTACATAATGCACAGCCGCGTACACGTCCCCCCATCCTCAAACTTTCAAAAAATGTCCTAAATCCTCCATACCTGATACTACTAATGTTGTGTAAGCAATAGACAAATCAACATTGACGACTGTTGATAACGAAATGGAAGGCGTGCCCATTAAGATTCTAAACTTCCTTGGGCCTACATCATATCAATACAATGAGACTCGAGCATGTCTGAAATAAGTAGGTTGATGATTGCAATTTGAAATTTGGTAAATTTTCTAATCAGGGAGAAGGGGAGAGAAGAGGAGCAGATGCCGAAGCCTCGCTTCCTTCTATGGGCAAACCAGGTACGGTTTATTATAGTACATATTATATATTCAATACTACGAGCCGATAAATCAGATGATTTTCAGCCGAGTTTGTCTCATGATTGGATTCGGAATGATTGATTCTACTCAGGAATGTCAAATTGCCTCTGTCACTTCTCGTGGTAACTCAATTCCATGTGTGTACCGTCGGACGAAAACCTTCAGTGGCGAAAGTCAATAGAATGGATTTGGGTGGAGGTGGGAAAAGGGCGGTTAGGCGTGGGGGGGGGGGGGGTTCGTAGAAGTGAAGGTTCGTAGAGGTTCGAAGGGTTCGAGCTCGCCAAGTGGGGGAGAAGGGCGAACGCGAATCCGGTTAGACCTGAATCGCTTCGAACGACATCGAAGACGAGCAGGGAGGGATCCGTGGCGATTCGGGGGGATTCAAGGGGGGGGGATCGAACGCGAGAGAAACTGCGAGGACCATCGTGTCATACGGTCTCACGAGCGCGTCGACACCGAGACATAAATTTCCTCAAATTGGCCAGAACTCCTTGAAAAGAGCGAGCGATTTCCGAAAAACGGAGCGAAACTGGAGATCGGAATTTTACCCTCTATAAACAAGGAAGTAGAGCCGCTCATCTCTCTCTTTCCTAAGAATAACCACTAACTTTTTCTTCCAGTTTGAAAAGTCCTCTCCCTCCCTCATTTTGCTTATCGATTTCCGTCAATTTGTCAAAACCACGTGACCACTTTTCAACGTGATCCTCGGTCATAACAGAACCGAGTTGCACGACCAAAAGAAATGCGTCTGACTTACACCCACGCATCTGGCGTTCTCCACGGGGTTTCTCCCCGTGCCAAACGTTCCCACTCGTCGCATTTCGAAATAATTCTGACAGAAATCTGTAAGATGGGAACGATGAGATTTTTCTCCTTCTTAGAGAATCGGCAGGCGCCGATATGCGGGATCGACCTGTCCTTCTTCCTCGGAATGGCCACCCCGCTCATCAGCCAGAATTATCCCAACAATTATCCCAGCTCGCATTCCTGCAACTGGAAGTTCTCGGTGAGCTTTTCGCTCTCTCTCGGCTCTTCTCGAACGGAATCATCGCAAGATGAAAAACTCACGCGTTTCCGGTGACGCATCGCAGTGTCCGGTCGACATGACGATACAATGCTCCGATGTGAGACTCCCGTGGAATTTCCTCTGCATCTGGGGCGGCTTCACTTTCAATGGAAAGACGTGAGCTTCGAATGATGCAAAAAAAAGACGAATTTCACGACCGAGGTAATATCTTTGTGAAATTTTTTTTTCTCTCCAGAATCTGTGGAACGAGCACTTACTTTCAGAACCCAGTGAATGTTGGGAGAACTCTCTCCGCCCGTCTTTATGCCGCAGGTTACACCGGACCAGGACTCAAATGCACTGTCACCTGTGGTCAGTTGAGGTCTCCCATGGACACACATGGAGAAAATGCTCAAAGCGTGGACACGAAGTCGCTGGATGCTGCCTGTTTCAAAGCGACTTATCGCGTTTGGACATATTTAAATACAATATTAATGTCAGACACGAAATAATCGTGAGAGTTTCTCATGATGAGCATCGATTAACCAACTGCTTTATTAATTTGTAAACATTGAATATGCATCAAATAATGATTACATTAAAAAAATTTGTAATTAATCTGGTAACTTTGTATCCACACTGAATCAGCAGAATTCGGATGTGCTCTTGTTATGCGAAATCCAGGAGCGTCTGAAATAACCATGATTTCTTTCATTTTTTTCCAGGTAAAAAAGCTGCTTGCAGTAAGTTCAAGAAAGGATCGTCCGCATTGCTCGAGTCGGGTTAATTATCTCATTTTCCTCTTCCTGGAATTCTCCTTTGGACGTTTCCAGACTGCGGAATGTCCCAGTACCCGGGCAGGAGATCCGGGGACGCCCCGGCGAACTCGACGGGACTGGACCGCATCGTCGGAGGCACGGTCGTGCCCAGCCAGAAGAAATATCCCTGGATGGTGTGGATCAGGCGGAATCCGACGACGCTGTCGGTGCATTGCGGTGGGTCACTCATCAACGATCGATACGTCCTGACGGCCGCCCACTGCGTCTATGAGAAGTGAGTTTTCCAATCATTTTCACTCCCACATTTTATCATTAGCAAGAAGACTAAAATGAAGGGAACGGGTGCCGAAGTAGGAGTTTAATTTCGCGATTTTCGCTCTTTCTTCCAATGTAACGAGAAGTTGGTTTCAACGGACAAGAAATATTCACGGAGGAAATAGGATTGTAGCAAGAATGGAACTGTGTGAAGAAATGATCCTCCTTCCGTTCTTTTTTCTTCAGTCCCTCCGCCACCTACTATGTGGTCCTGGGAGATTTAAATCGATATTCGTCGTCGGAAAGCGTATCGATACAGATCCCAGCTCGAGCCATCCCCCATCAGCAATTCCTGATAAGGAAATCCGGATCGGCCCTGACGGCGATCGACAACGACATCGCCTTGCTGAAGCTGGAGACCCCGGTGGACTTCCAAGGCTACCCGCACATTCGGCCGATCTGCCTCCCCAAACCCGGCGTTTCCCTCGCTGGGGTGCCGGTGGCTGTCGCCGGATGGGGCGCGATGTCTTTGCTATGTAGGGAGATTGGGGAAGGGGGGGTTCGGTCTGTCTTTTCTGGAGATGTTACAATCGAGAATATCTACTTGATTTCCAGTTTCACACCTCGGCATCCCCACAGTAACAATGCTGGAGGCGAATCTTGAGACCGCAAGCGATTCTGTTTGCCAAAAGAACTACGGATCCCTATTCACGAAAAACTTCATCTGCGCGCAGAAGGCTGGAAAAGATATCTGCCACGTAAGTCTCGAGACAAGGGTCGAGAGAAAGAACAATGAAGTTCGTGCAGAGTGAGTCCGCTCGTGTCGTATTTTCCAGGGGGATTCCGGTGGACCGTTGATGCACCGAATCCCAGGATCGTTTTACTTCAACGTCGGGATCAACTCGTTCACGAAAGGATGCGACCCACAGTACGGCGCTGCATTCACGGCGACGGCAAGTGAGTGTTCCCGAAATTCCTTCAGTCGGTGATTCTCCGTCCAAGCCTTGGGAAGTATTCCACACGCGTTTCGTATCCGTTGCAGATTACGTGAACAGCTTCATCGGAATGTACACCAACGACGCCGAGTGGTGTGCAATTCCCGGGTTTTAGTCGCTACAGAGGGGCATATGGTTCGGCATCCTCGGTTTTCATATCATTTCGCAGCACTCGGACTGTTTTATCGTGCCTTCTCTTCTCCCTTCAGTTCATATCGCTTTCACCGGTAGATTGCTTTTCTTTTTTTCGGGTGAAGGCATCATCTCGTCTGTTTGACTGAGATCACGAGTAAATCTTTTGTGGATTTTCACAAGGTTTCCCATTTATAGGACATTGCAAGATAGTTGATATCTTCAACGTATTTCACGTCTCACTCATAACTGCATTCCTTGAGAAGAAAATCCCTATCATCGAGAATCAATGCCACCGAAAGCCACGACAAGGTAATGAATTCTGAGCTTCAGGCTCTTCCATGGTATTTTTCAAGGGGCACGAGAAGGAATCAAAGTAAAGAAATGAGACATGCAGTCATGTGAAAACCAATGTTCAATAGTTAACCTTCATTCAACCTCAACCCCCACCCACCATCAATTCAATACATTCTCCCCGGAACTCACTGATGTTAAGCATAGGTCATACCGAAGGTCTGTTTTCGTGTCAAGCCCAGGACTAATTTTTTTCCGATCAAAAGGAACTCAATCCTCGACCTACAGACCAATTACGCCTATAATGATTAATCCCTGATCTTCCAGACACTTCGTCGAATATGTGGAACGTTAGGTCAATCGCAGGCGTATTCAGTCTCTCATAGTCCATTTAACAGAGATTCTGTAACGTCAGACCGAATGTAGGTCTGTTTTGAGTTTCACGAAACATTTCGGTGCGGATGAAAAACGTTAGGCCCATGCAAAGTTCTTCGAACAGTCTCGACTCGTTCCGAGAAGGCCCTTAGAAAGCCTCACATATGAGCTGACCGCCTTTCTGCTAATTTACGGTTGTCGATGATAATGTCTCCAGATCCCATCGAATCGATCGGCCACTGCTGGCCACCATTTCAATATTAGCTCATCTAATGAACTCGACACATAATTATATCATGCATTAAAAAACAGAAGATCCAGACACCTGATATCAAGGTAGTAGAAACACGAATCTGGCATAACTAAGACACGATATCCGGCAACACTGGTAGCCGAGGCAAGAGCCATCGCACTTAGCCTAAATTATGAAATTATTAATTAACGGCATCTAATTTCTTTTTTTTTTGCAAAATGATGCTTTGGAAGGAAAAAAAAAGGCACTTTTTGTCACCTCCAGGTCAATGTCCTTCATTTGGAAGTTCGCTTTCTTCGAAAAATTCCCAGGAGTGGCCACAGGGTTGGGGGGGGGGGGGGAAATTCATGAACGAAATCGACATCTCCGAAAAGCGAGATTCAGTGATGTCAACAACCTAGGGGAGATGGAGCTGCATATTTACTGGATCGATTCTGTGTTTAGGGAGCAAGAAGTATGCCAAATTTTGTTCCTGTTGATTTTTTTTGGGAGGAATACGAGACGGTTGAATTTTGTCGCCGGAAGGGGTTGAAGAAAGGTAATTCATTAAAGGTAATTCATTAAATGAAGAAATGCAGCAGCACCACACATAAAACTGTCCCGAGTACTGAATGGAAAGCTCGACATCGCACCACCCGACAGAACCTGTCGCCTTGCCCACCTTCAACTTCCCTATCGTATCATATCTTCAACTGCATGAAAAGCAGAGTACGGAAGATCTGGGTGCTATCAGTGATTGGCATTCAAAGTTCGGGCAAGTCACATGCTCAACACAATTTTCGGATCGGACTTTTTAGTTCGAACTGGAAGTTGCACAAAAGGGGTCTACAGGGTATATGCAGTTTTTACCCTTTCAATGTTCGAATGAAGAAGGTGAGTCACCCAAGGACTACTTAGTCCTCCTTGATATAGAGGGATTGAGAGCCCCCGAATTTACAGACGATTACTCCCGAAGGCGAAATAATGAACTGGCTATATTTGCCATTGGACTGGCTGACCTGACCCTTCTCAATGTGATGGGCAAAACACCATCAGATTTGCCCAAAGTCACCGTCGTCGGCAAATTTACTTATCTTACCCTCTACGCCCAGATCCAAAATCCAAATTATGTAGACCAAAAGCAGGAGCTGTCCAAGGACCGAGCCTTGAGGGACCCGCTTGCGACTCCGACCTCCTTCGACGCTTCCCCATTTATCATCA